TGTGGTGCCCGAGCGCTTGTGCCGAAATCCGCGCTGAGTTGGAGACAAAAGCTCATGATTCTCCCAATACTCCATCAACACTTCTGCCACAATTGCTTTCATGACCTTCGACAATACCGGGAAAAGCGTAACACGGCGTATTTGCGGGATCACTGCAACAGCCTCTTTTGTAAATAGTGGAATTCACCCCTTTCTTCTATCACCTCGAAATTACTGTCTGGTTGAACATCCTTTGATAAAGAACGGCCAAATATTTGAAATAGTAGTGGCTAGAGAGACGAGATTTCACGGATGCATGTAGTCTGCGCATGTGGATGATTTTGAACACATAGTTCAGGATCAGTTCTCTCATACAATTAGATTTACATTTATTCAGGCCCGTGCACTCTTCATAAAGCTTTTCTGGACTTGACTTGACCTGACGGGGACTGATTCAAGGGAACTCGATAAATTATCTTGATTATACACTCTGAATTTTACCGGTGACCAGTGTCCACGGCGTGACAGAGAATAGCACTTAGGTTGCCACAAAACCATTTTTTCAGCTATTATATGTTGTTTAGTTCATGTGAATGTTACATTTTACTGTTTTGCAAAATTTGTGCACGAAAACGTTCCTTGCAGTACTACCGTCGTCGTTCACAGTGACAATGCACTGAAAAATACCAGTTGATACACGCAATCATACACGATGTATTATATGGGTTTCGAATAAATACCGAATATTAAAGTGAGACGGTTAAACATACTTTTATCAGCCCAATCTGTGTGGTTTTAAGCCTCTCAATCACCCGCTTTTGATTATCCAAAAGAAAGCTGAATCGCGTTTTGAGCAGATTCTTGCAGTTCTCGATACAAGACAAGTTATTTTGCTTATCCTCAGCCTAGCTGTTAGGAACGCTGTGAAAAGGTGTGTTTTTCGTGCGGCTTACTCCGTGACATTAACTTATCACTTCTTCGGCTAAGCCGTACATCCACGTCCGATGAAGAGTCAATCACATATCTAACGAGCAGTTAATTCAGCTCGAACTTAAAATAAGTTATCCAAAATTGGTCGCCGGAATACTGTTACGCCCAGAGCTTCTGTAGGTCTCCATAATTGATGCTAATCGAAGTATCCCACTGTTTTAGCTGGACATATATGTTCGAAAATCAGGATGATTAGATATTGATCACGATTGTGTTTGAACGTTAGTTAGCAACACATTCAACTATGTGCATCGAGCGCTTCTCGATGATTTCTCAGTTTTGACTGATGGAATTCATCGACAACATGCAAACCTTTAGGTGTTCTACAAGTTGTTTTCGCAAAAGGCTGTAGTGCTACCGTAAAAATTAATGTCATGGGACGTTTTTCACATCCTGATTAGGCTGGCGAGACCAAAGGTGCTATATTTATCACACTCAAGTAGGTTCAATTCTAATCCTAAAATAAAGTCGCCAACAAAATTTGTCTTGTGATCTACTTAACCCAGACCCAGATGAACACTTGAATCGTCCTCTGTTTCCGACTCGATTGGTAATGAATAAAAAAAATTCCCATAGCGTAGTCATACATGTGAGTTACTTAAACGTTAAATGCATCCTCCGCATATCGAGACTGTCGCGGTCCAACTGAGGAGACTTTGCTTCTCATCACAAAAACCGGCACCACCGGTGCTTTTCTCACCAAATGATAGGGTCTGTTGTTCATTCACTATATCTGGACCGCCCCACCACGAATCCCAGAGTACGCTATAGGCTGTGGAGTATGTTTTCAAAACTATTTTCTCAATTCTCTTGCTTTGTCTGATCGGCAGTCACTATGATGCATATTGCGATGCTTTCTAGATGTTTGCAAACAGATTCGTTCTTCAATTTCAACAACTCACAACACAACGTCCGATCTTCATGTGAACCTCATTTCTTCATCTGTTTCAAATTTCACTGGTGATTCGAAATCAAAAATCGATTTAAGGGTTGATTAACATATTTTGTGCAAATTGATTCCTAGTTCATCTTTTTTGTTCACCATTATTGCAGTTATGTTTTGTTTTGCCTGTTAGCAGACCTATTACTAATGAACACTCAAATACAAGAATAAATTCAAATCGTAAGATTAGCAGACATGTTCGCCGCAATCGCTTTGATAGAGCAAAAGTACAATCATCAGGAGATACTGAATAAATAGTTTTAATACACGCGTACCAGGGTTACAATTGTCTCGTTACTCCTGGTTTGCTCCGTACAGTTTTCTTAAGTCCGGAAGTACGTGAATAGTGTGACATCTAGGCCTGGTTGGGAACATGTTGCTGTCTCATTGAGAATCTGTTTAAGTATTATTCGAAATCACATTATTGCTTGATCCCTGTTTGAGTTAGGCTCGCAAAAGGATCTTTTCTCATTGATGCTAATAAAGTTATTCATCATAGATATAATGATAATAATAAAAATGAGAATACGCTACTGATGAATGATTCCTTTATGGTTTACATACATATCATCAAGATTTTGTGGTAATATACTAAGTTCAAAAAAATATTTTTATCCGATGAAGGTAATATAGATAACTGCTTTGAAAACAAATAAATAAAACCTCACTGGTGGGGATGCAACTAGAATCGAGCAAATAGTATACTCAAAAATGTTGTAACAAACGTTTTCTCACCTGGACGTTGCTCAGTTCCCGGTGCATTTACGGAAGACTACAATCCAAAAAGTAGTTGTTGTTGCTGATGCTACTTTTTTGTTGTTTTGATCCATGCGAAGTGAGGAACACGAGATAAGTGAGTTGTGTTATCTGTGGTATTTTGACATTTTGGGAATGCGATTAATCTCGACATTCCAGAGCGTTTGGCGCAAGTTTACACAGGGGTAACAATACACATACCCATACCCAGGAATTCACACTGAATCAAAGGAGAAATATTTGATCCAAATAATCATTCGCGTCGGGCTGTCGAGTGATTCAGGTTTTCCATACTAACTACAAATGTTTCAAATCCTGAGAGGGACAAAGATAGTTTGCACTTAATTTCCCAAACCGTTTCGGATCTCTTGTGCAATGATTGCTTTACAACAACAGTTACAAGATGTCATTGAGTTTCATGAGACATGAAAAAGGTGACAGTGTTAAAACTTGTCTTGAAAACCGTCGAGTTAAGTCCTAATGACATTTCCCTTGCTTTGCATCCGTAATTTATCTGATGATCACCAAATAACAACCCATTTTCTGACAGGATCATTGACGTTCTACACGTGTACGCGGAACACGTACTGAACAAGGCCATTGACTGGTATATTACACAACCGCTTCACCAACCTCATTCTCGGAGACGCTCACGCAGGACTTTGGCGAACACGGTATTCGAGCCAATTCCCAAAGAGATTTCGGACTCAGTGGACTGTGTATCAGAGATCACTAGTTCAAAGAAAAACAAGAGTAAATTGGAGATTGAACCGTATGCCATTGAATGTAAGTTCTGCTCTTGTCGTCGTCACGGAAAACCCAGAAAAAACTAAACTCAGTTAAATCCATTTCTATGAATTCCACGTTGCGCTATAAGATCCGTCGAGACCAAGCTTGTAATTAAGGATATCCAACAAGATAACATTTTGCGAAAGTTGACCCTGTAAATGTAATCACTGAGATAATCCCCTTCCTTCGTGATAGCGGATCTGTTACTCGAGACACACCCCGATTACCTCAAACGCAGAGGGTAGAAAATGACTGGAAAATGTTCGTGTTCGGTTTCATGCACCAAATGGCGTCAAAGGAACTTACAGGTTCATATTTTCAAGCATGGTACGAAGTCACAGACTCATGAAGGGCCTGTATCAATGATCCTTAATATTATGTATACGTTTAATTCAGTCTAACAATCTGCAGCACAGAGGATATCCACGGTTTTAGAAACAGAGACTTGCTTGCTCCAAATTTATGCAGAAGAAAAGATAAAAGAAAAGTAACGTTCCTCTCAGAACATAGCCCTTTGTGCACTAGTATACATCTTACTGTGACAGTAGACGTTACCCGTGACAGTTTTGTGTGAATAATGAAACCAGTGAGATTTGGTAGATAGTTCAAGAGAATTCTTATGTATTCAAATTAATAGTTTGTAAGGTTACAAATTTTAATATTGCCGGAACAGTGAGTTTGTTGAAAGTCACCCTTCAAACCAGTTTTCTCAGACATCCTAATGGCAAAACCAATGATCGTAATATTGTACGGAACACAAGGCGGATTGAGCCACCAGAAACGATAGTTTGATGTCGTCTGCAGTGCAATCGAGAAACAATTAAAGTAAATATTCATCTCAAGAGCATTCAAAATCGAGCACACGAACGTTAAGTTGGTCGCTGGAAAAATGGATAACAACTTACTACCGTTTCACAATCTTGTTGGGGAAAAATACCCATTTTTGATGTAGTTTTTTTCGGATTGACTACTTGCCTGATCTACCAACCTGATCCTCTTAAATGTCCGGGTTTGAATTATGGATATCTCCAGAAATTTATCCAACACAAGGCTAAGCACAAAAGACCAAAGTGATGAAAGAATCACAAGTGAAAAAGAAAGGTCCTCTCAGCCGACTCGGTTTCTCGGTGATCGACCTCTGTAGATTAGGCTGGTTGGGCATGTGTTACGCATCTCACCAAATAGATAGCCGCGGAGCGCGATGTTTGCCGAGGCAGGCAGCAGTTAGGAAAGGTCAAGGGTGGTCAAACGAAAACCTGGCATGAGGATATATAAATCCTAACCAGGAGACTAGGTCACAAAGGCCCCGTGAGGTTCCCTGACTGGGGACCCCGAGATGATGGTCACCGATGGTTAGAGACCCTGAGTGATTTGGCTGGGTGTCGCAAACACGGGCGCTTGTGCATCCACTCATTATTCTCCTAACAATACGCTGTATGAATTCTGCATGTTCCGCTTGAATTTGCTTTCAACATTCCAAACTTCATTCTGCCCTTTTATCCAAGTGGGACACTAATATACAGCAACCAAACACAGTGCACGAAAGTGCATGGTTATTAGTTATAAAAACTGAACTGAACTGAACCGATTTTCCAGATGACAGTGTTGAACGAGTCTTGAGGGACAAATAGACGGAAAAGGTTACCATCGCCATAATCACAAATGTGTTATTTGCATAACTGGCAAACAAAGAACAGCCCTCTGTGTTGACCATCGGGAAATAACAATACGCTTGAAATACTCCTTACGCAGGTCTTCTTAAAAGGCAGTTGTCATAAGACATGAACTCCACCGTACACTATGATCCAAGTATATGGCGAACGAAGCGATGCAAAGCTCGTTTATAAATCAGTTGTTTAAACCAGGACTTTCTATTCACGTTTCGTCAGCTTTTTTGATTATCTACCTATTTTCACAACAAATGTCAAGAGCAGTAATGCCTCACTCACAAACATCCTACCAGCCATTTTGTATACGCTTCTCAGGTCTGATCGATGAAGGCATTGGTCCAGACGCTGCCTCTTCCACCTCCAATACCCGAATTAGTCATTCATCAATTAGCTGTGGTATTCGCTTATAACCAGTGTTGTATAATGCCGGCTTCTATTGAAACTTTTCCGATGAAAGTCGATTAACCCATCTACAATTTTATATTGTTAAGGTGGCTACAAGGCAGAACCATACATTCTCATTTTTATTTCACAGAAAAAACACGAGTAAGTGTTATGTTTCTCCCGACAACTCGTATTCTGGGAATCAGAATTAGTTTATGTTGCATTGTTGTCGACAATAATTGACGAATTGCTATTTTCTGTCATTCGAGTCTTGAGGTTGCGGTAAACAACAATGGTACGTATTTGACTGCTGTGAGCGATGAAAAGTCGCGGTGGTTCTGTACTGTCTAATAAAGTACTATGCCTAGCGGGTTTGCACCTGTGCACAGTCCTTGGTACCTGTTTCTTTGTTAGTGCTACTGCAATTGGGCTGGACAATAGGGGACACTTACGGGTAACTCCCCTAATTGAAACAGCAACAGTGTATGCTGACTGGGAACTTTCACTCAGGTTACTGACCATCAGCTGAGCTGATTACATCTTAGGATTCAGGATTTCAACTAAAAATAAATGTCCATGTAAATCTCAAAGGGGCACTAAATCTGTATAACGCGAGCTGGTTACCAAACCAAAACGTCTCTCTGGTGATCAATATCTGTCAGTGAAGCACGACAAATCTTGATTCATTTTCTTTTTTAATTTTTGAAATATGTCTGGGTAAATGTTTAATTTGGTCACCAAAAATGATTACTCGATTATCTGAAAGTCAACTAACGGTTTGGTCGCAAAAATAAGTTATGTTCTTCATGGAGTTCGGCTAAGTAATATATTTTGTGTAACTATTTTTAATGTTTATTTATTAAAATTATAGTCTCTCTTCCCCCCTCTCTTCCTTTTTATCTATCTATCCATATTAACTATCATTTTACATACACAAGAAAATAGCTATTTATAAAAGCTTTCGAAGGGTATAAATTTTTATAACGTTTTTCCAGAAGACCGGTGAAATCAGTCAAAGCTATCTGGTTTAGGAGGAAGCAGGTGTAAAATTATTTCAGTTAATACTGAGACCGTTTTGGCTCGCCAAAGTTCATCCTAATTTTGGATACAAATTTGAGATCAAAAGGATTTTTAGTTTTCTTTTTACAATCAATGAAATTTATCTGATTGCCATCAAATTCGATAAAGTTCTATTTTGGATAATAAATTATAGCTTCAAGTTCTGCAAATGGAACACCGATTGCAACGCTGAACGGAGGTGAAATGAATTATCATGTGTCTCCGGCCAGACAGGCAGCTTATGAGGCTCTACGGCGGGAATTGGAACAAGCAATGCGGAATCGAGCTACCCTGCGAAACAAGCATATTCCAAAATATTTTCGCTCACGAGAAGGAGTGCAGTTTCTCATCCAACAAGTAGGTCAATGAATCAGTTTTGAAAAACACTGTGAGAAAAACCCAACAACAACCGTGTGATTTCCGATTTCATGTGCACGAGACGTCTGGTGGACAATGCGATATTTTATGACTTCACATGAAAATTAGGGTTTATCTCCTAGATCAGAAGTAATCCCAGAAAGGGAGGTAAATTTTCTCATTTGCTAGTCATAAATATGGGAACTCCATTTCAAGTTACAAATCCCCTACTTGTATTTCTCACCTCCTAAAACCGTGATAACATTTCAATTTTTGAAGCAAAATACAGAGTATTACTCTGTTTCTATGTGAGTAACATAAAAATCACACCTTAGCTGAACCTCTATTTGTACGGTAGAATCAACTGTTTTAGCAGCGTTATAACACTCATCCTACGTGGCATTCCATGCATATGGACTAATATGGAATTTATTCCAAACAGCTTTCTGCTCTCTTGATACTTCTGTGCGGTCCACCACCTTGGATTTCATGCCGGATTTCATTCAGGAGAGAGAATTTCAGTGTTCAATTGAAATAAGGCGTGACACCAAACGTCACCTTACAGGTTTACCGCGTGTCAGGGTGTTATATTCCAGTCCACGAAGAATGATGTCTGCTTTGGCAGTGGTTTCAACTACTCATAGCTACTTTAATCAGTCGTGGTAAAGACCATGGCATCCAGTTCTAACTGAAGGAAAGAAGCCAGTAAAGGATTTTGGTAAATAGACTAACCGCTTAGTTGTCATCTTATTTCTAGCCTTTGTGAATTTTCTTTGTTTGATTTTGCTTCTGAATATCTCTGAATAAATATTTTGGGGTATACGCTACTCCAGACATTACTTTTCCTAAGATTCGTTTTTTACTAGCTTGAAGCTCATTCCCGTCACAACTCAAGCGGTATGTACAGTTCTAACCCAACCTGAGGCAACGGGTCCCTGTGAAACACTTGAGGGTTTGTATAGGCATCAGCACTTATAGTGAGGTAAATGTTTCTCCATATAATAATAAACAAGCATTGGTGACTTTTTATGGTAGTGATTTTCGTGATTCGTTTATATTCAGCAGGTGGATTGTTCAGAATGTAGCGGACACTCCCATTTCAGCACTACTGGTTGACCAGGAACATGATGAGTTAAGAGCTAACTAAAGCGAATAAAACAATTTTTATTTAAAACAAATTAGCATTGATAATAACCAACATGTAAAGTTTGTGAACACTAATAGTCAAATGGGCTGCCTTTGTTTTTTAGGACTTTTTGAGTCTCTACGGCATGGAATCCACCAACATTGTCATGAGGTCATTTTCTATTTTATGCTCCAATATGTGTGGCACTTTTGCCTCCGCTTTACAATGTACGGGTAGCAAATTGAACTCTCTTCAAATCAGAAAAGAGATTTTCAATCACATTGAGATCAGGGCTATTAAAGGAAGTTGCCTGAACTGGACCTTGGAGTCACATATTTTTCTGAAGTCGAAAAGCAAATAATAAGTGAACCAGTTACCTTAACTAAATTAATTGGCAAACCTATCGTGAGCCTTTTCTTTGAAAAACGATAAGTTATTCAGACCATTTTTTCATGAAATTCTGGAAACATTTCCGTCATTACGGGGACGAATTTTCCACTATTCATGGTGCCTTTGATTGAGGTTCGCAGAAAAGGTTGATCATAGCCCTAGAACCCACGTAGATCGAGATAAACAAGGAATAACTCATTATGCATATCCGAAGCATTCATATAAATGATACATACTTTAAATGTTAACGATCTAGGTGAAATAGTGATGTGAATACACAAAAGATGCATGGAAAGAATGAAGGGGGTACACGTTTCTAACTAGCGTTCGTTCCCATTCATCTGGAATGGGAATAATGCAGTTAACTAAAAAGTACACCTACTTGTATGTATATGATGGCCAAGTAACATGTGTCAGCATCGCGCAAATATGCAAATAAATCCCAACCAAGTACAATTCGAGGAAACGAGCTTATCTGGTTGAGTCTCCTTGTATTTCCGAATCCACGAACACGGACAGAAGCCACAAAGTAAACTCGTGTGCAAACACTTCTTGTGGATTAGAGCTAACACACTTTTAACCGACAGCAGATAGAAAAGTACTTATGAAGGTGAAGTAATTTCGACTTTTTAATTTTAAAGTTCATCTTCATGCGTATGATGTAACTTTTATCAGTTATGTGGTGTGCGTGTATACATCATTATGGATATGTGAACTGAAGTTATGTCACGGGACAACGCGTCGACGTCTGAAGTGAACTTATTGATTTCCCAAATTACCTCTTGAGCCACACAGAGGTAATTTATTAGAGTTACAATCGCATCTGCGGTGGACCCAATGGTATTCATGCTCTGTTTGCAGAGGATGGATTATAAAGTCGGATTTATGCATATTGTTTTATATCGTCTACAGAAAACCACTATCAGGGATTAAAATAAGAAAACATTTGAGATACGTGAAAAGAGTTGGGTAATGATGTAAATCAATCGGATGTAACCTACGTTGTTTTGTGGTTTTACTAGTTTTCATTTTGATTCAGGCTTAGTTGAATTCAAAATGCTGGGCGAACATTATGAATCCTATAAAACAACTACTGTTTTCGGTTTACCACTGTGAAGTGTGCAAATCATGTACATTATGTCACCGTGCTACTTGATTTGTCCACAGGGAACACCAACAGCAATGAATGTGGTTAACGAGCTTACCTGTCTCCAAGCACTGGATGTCACCAATGCAATTCTTTCAGAAGACAACGGTGAGTCCATCGGCATTTAGATGCTTGCTCAATGAGATTACTTGGAACGAGAAATCGTCATTGGTTTATGAATGTGTCAGAACTGTGTAGCATGTTGTCACTGAAAACTGCAGTGAGGGATTTGATCTGATCCCAGAATAAAACTCATGTTATACTGAATGAAACGTAAACTGAAATAACTAGATACATAGTATTGGTGCGTGAACGCTTCTTCAGCTATATGAAAACCCGAGATTGCTATATCAGACCAAATGAAGCAAATCGATCATCAGTCAGGTGGTATTGAAGCAATGAGTACGATGCTTCGAAGCGACTACTCGATAGGAGTAAGACGAATATCCTGGACATCGAACGCGCGATTTGAAATGCTTTTTGAAAGATCTTTCTATAGTATGTGATTTCATTTTAACATTATCCGCAGCACGCGATGTTTCCACTATCGTAGATGGCGTGCGATTAATAACTCACTAGTTGCTCAATTCTCAAATGATATATCAAGAATAGAGTTACATCGCACTAAACAAACGGCGATGCCAAACCTTTATTGCTTTCCTTTTGTGAAAAGTCTTGAGTTCGTCATAGCAATTTGAGGCACGACGTTTTGATGGACATAACTGATCAGAAATATTAAGAATTTCTTCACTCGTTGTACCTCCGCTTTCCACACAATTGATCCCGATTGTCAGGGTAAAAAAGGTAATCATGTTTTATTTGAACGTTTTCGTAATTTAGCACCTTCGAGTTAATCGTGAAATGTAGAGAAGTGAATCTCTTGTAGTGTACGACCATAAAACATAGAGTGGCATATGTACTGCTACAGGATGAGCCTTTTTAGTTAATTTTGATCATTTGCAAACTTTGATGGCAACCGAATTGCAACGGTCTATAAAAAAATGTGGGCGTCTCTTTTTTGCTGTTCATCACAATACAGACTAGTATAATAGCATTTGCCAATGAAATACGTCATTCCGTTCCAGATATATGACTGGAATTTTCATTGTGACTGTTCAGTACTTGAAGGTGCTTCTGTGGTGGTTTCAGAGAAAGTCTTAAACAAACTGGATTTGAATCTGGTCAACAATGATGCGAATATTGATTGAGCATGATTGATTGGTGTCCTACAGCCGTTGATGGAGATTTAGGTCATGGAACTTATGGCAGCGCCATGTGATGGACGTAAGCAATGGTTCAAGCGTTGATTGCGCATGATCCATTGGTCGCATGGCCCGGTGTGACTTTTCAGGTAAAGGGGTTCGTGCACAGAGAAGGGGAGACACGAACGCGTACTAGTAACGCAATCCATCAAGATATGTCATGGAGATTGGGGAGTGTATGATCGAGGCACGTCCCACGAGCCTCATCCACGAGCTTCAAGTGAAGGTTGTGATGTCTGTGCTGCATGGTGGTTTCAAAAGTGCATGAGGCTGATACCCCAAATGAAGTCATAGAAACAGCCGAAAATGATGCTCAGATAACTGAATATGATGACTAGACAAATGAAATGATGCCTTAACGTATTTAGATGATAGCCGGATGTTTTGAAATGATATCCAAACAACATGAAGTGTAAAATGTATCAATTACTTTGTCCTCGATACGACTTATACCTTTAGTCTTACCTTAGTTGAAACTTTTATCGCCTAGACACATCTAGTACATATAAGAGCAAGGTGTGCCATAGGCCTGTCTACATTAGGCCAGTCCACGTACCTGCGAGCAAGTACTCCCATACGATTGAGCCTTTGATGATGAAGTTTCAACTGTCGTAGAAACGTTGTCTATAGGTCTTGTTAGATAAAAGTTATTCAACTAAAAAATAAGTTTATTGCTGATCACCAAAGACGGTCATCGTCAGTAAAATTATTGCTGTTCCCCTAACGGAAATGGTGGATGGACGATGATGATATCTAATAACTATTTTCTTTATCGGATTTCGTAGATTCGGACGGAGTTATTTTTTTAAAGGTGACTGGAAACCTACGAATAGCGTCAACAAATTATCTATTCTTCCTTACATTCAGTAGAAAACAGACATGTTGATCCTGTTCTCAAGCTATTTCTTACGGGTGTTGATGAGATGCGAGATTACGTTCGCCCGACTAATGTTGGTGAATAATTGATACAGGATGTTGCAGTCACATGCGACGATATTCCTCCCAGTTTCGGAGTCGATTTTTGACATAGATCGCAATGTCGTTCGTTGACCCAAGAATTGTAGAAAAGACCGAGAAGGGNATATTCGCCTTTATCAATGCATTTCTGGCTACTAGCGTAATAAACTTGGTTGGACGGGAGCTTGTGTAACAAGTATCTCGTGCAACACGTTGCTCGTTGGTTTGACCAAGTTGGTCGACCAGTATTATCCATCTAAAAATACCCATTCTCAGAATTACTTATCTCAGTTTCTCCGCAATAATATGGCAACAGTTGGTGCATTGCTGTTTTTATCTGCTCCACACGAAAAAAGCGATGTGTGGAGGCCAAAAGATGGAGAAACTGTATGCGAGAGCTCCTTAACAGCTGTCAAGACACAATATAATTACTTTATAAAAAGATGGGCGTATCCCAGAGAGAATGTCTAACAAGTGACAATTAAAATTGAGTTCAAGAGAACATCCCCCGATTTTATATAGTATAATTTCTACTATTTTCTATGTAAGAAATAGAAACTACTGAAACACGTGACTGTTATCAAAATGCTTAAAAAGGGTTTTGTGATAAAACAATTTTTTGTTACAGGTGCTAATGCCTCTCCGATACTGGGCGACGTATCACGTACTGAGAAAGAAACAATGTCCAAAGACAGTTCATTATCCGACTCAAAACCACCCAAGACTATCTCGGAAAAGATTTGTGTTGAACGGAAACTGAATGTGGCTACTCATTCGACCCAGAGACGGACGTTACGTGAAAGCATGTTGAGGAAGCACAAAGCGTTTTTATATTACGATGAGAATGTAAAGTTAGGCGGTAAGTACGTATTTTTATTTCCATCGCAAAATTAAATAAATGAACCACATGGTAGAGCAGAGTGTCGCGGCGAAATTGTTCCTAATAGAGCCATGATAAATGTAAGAACGCGTTCAGTAATTTAAGGGTATCAGCGCCATACTTATTTCATCATCACCAGTCGACATACACGAGACCACATCATTGTAGATCCCCGTTATCAGTTAAGTGATTATTATTTTATCTCTATAACGATTCCTAAATGAAAACCACATCAAAATAACAAATACTTAGATGGGGAAATGTCGAACCTTGATATGTCGTTGCTCGCAATATTGGTACAGTCGTTGAGCCCGTGTTCATTTCTACTGTGATATCTAGTACTTTATCCGCTTTCAAAGTTATTTCAGTTAAATACCAATTGATTGACAATTAATGTGGTTTGTTTCTCTTTTGCGCCCACTTGCAATACTAAAAATGTCTTCTTGCATTTTGTTCAGTTGAAGGCATTTTAGGATTTATTCATCTGGCTGAAGCTGTTTGTTTTATCCCCTAATGGGATCAATGGCTTCATTTGGATTCGCTGCTTTCTCGCCACGACAAGAAAACACAAAGTGAATCTGGTTGCAATTGTAACTGACGCCGAACCGTTATCCCTACTATGACAATTACTAAAAGGCAACCACCAAGATTTGCCCAGTGACTGAAGTTAGAAGACTGAGGTCTGGATTAACATTAGTGGTATTGTTTTCTCGCAGAGAACGCTAATTCAAATAAACTTACATCGGACGAAAGATAAAACCGAAGTCAAACATGTACGAAATGGGGGAGAGGGTACAAGCTCCATGATCCAATTGGTTAACTGTAAAGGGCATAACTAAAAGAATTAAGCGAACCCGTCAGGTCACAATGGTGAAACGTGGCGTTGATCTATGCAGGATAACTACAGAACCGTTTGAACTTGCTCACTGGGTGTCGCAAACACTGGCTTTCGTGCATCTTCTCAATTTTTTTGCAACCTTAGACCACTGAACTTCTCCATTTTCTGTCCGACTCCACTTTCTACTTTCCTTTATCCTCATATTCTTCATCCCAATTGGCAGCCAAAAGACAGCAACCACAACCGGCGCACGAATATGCTTGGTAATGGTTGTTCAAACTGAAACTGAAACTGATCAGCAATGGATGCAAACCACGGATAAGCACATGAGCGCATCTGATCTGGATAGGTATTGAGGGAGGGGAGATTTGGGGTACAGACCGTAAAACGATACATGAAGTTCAAATATAAATTCAATTAGCTGGTGTACATAAGTGAATAATTAGAAGAATTATTCAATTAATAAGCACAAGTAATTAATACGGAATCCGCGGTTAATTCATGACAATGTTTCTTCCTAACAGCATGATCCGGTAGGTGTACTCAACTGTGATAGTTCCTGGCACGGTCTGATCAATCCACGAAGGATTTTTCAACTTATCCGCATTATATCGGATACTTTGAACCATCCAACCAATCTTTACCTCCGCTTTTGCTTTAAGTATCAGTATTCACAGAGATAAACCTGCTGACCCGTTAGTCTGAAGGCTCTGCCAATACAGGTGCACTCCAGCTTAAACTGTGGAGTTCACTGAAGCATCAGGTTATGCTTTCGTTCACAAAGTTTTCCAATTAATCACCGTCTATGAGATATACTAAAGCGTGTTCTCTTTCAACGATACCGTTCTAAATTTTGGTTTGATCTCGGGTTAGTTTGATTATAGTCTATCCTAAGTGAGTCTTTTTAGCACAACGGTCTTATAGTAACTCATTAGTGGATGAGGAACCGGATAAACTAGCGGCGAGACCTTTTGTCACCCCGTCATATAATCACTTTTCTGAATTTTTTATAGGATATGACAAAAGTTTCCCCATGGACAGAAAAGTAAAGTTGTATTAAGTTAGTACAAGGTTGTTGATACAGTCAGCGGAAGCAGTGCCCATCTGGTCGGTACCAAAGGAAGCAGACAATTTTGTCTTCGGTTTCTGGAGTCAATTCTATACCTGTGCCGAAAGAACTGTTTGAGCTTGTAACTTTGTCTTGTTCAGTACAACTTTGGAGGCCCTGTCAATAAAAAAGTATTCTTCTTAATGCCATTCAGGTGTTTGGTGCAAACGGATTCAAACAACGCCGACTGCAACGTCCTCAACGAAGTCACAACAAAGTGCAAACTATCATTTTGACAGTTCACTAAATTTAACCCCGTTATCCGAGCGCAATAAAGTGTAATACTTAGGGCATAATTGTAGGTTTATAAATTACATTTTTTTTCTTCAAATTGTCGTATTCACGCAAATATATATCGCCCGCTTTTCAGCTAGCTAATGATAGACAAAATGTGGTATTTGGGGGTAAAAAAGAGTAACGATTTCCCTGAAACAATGATAAGGACCCAACATAACGAGAATAATGATCCTCTTGTTCTTTCACTGCACACGTTTTGATGTTTCGTTTCTCTCTTTTTGAAATGTCAAAAAGCGGCAACCGTTTTTGCACATGATTTGTATCAGTTAACTCATGGTTAATCAAGCGTGAATAACTAATGATTGGTTTCCTTTATTTGTGGAGGTCCAAAAACGACTGAGGTGGTTTGATTGCATAGAGCTGTTTCGGTCAGTTCAATTCTTACAACTACATCTACATCCCATCACCAATGTTTTCCTACCGTCATTCACAGTTTTTTCAACGCTGAGGCAAGTTTCAGTTCTCAGATTTTGCAACCATTATCTATGCACTTTCGTGCGCGGCTTATGTTTGCCGTCTTTTGTCTGCTCATTTCAATAAAAGAACAGCATGAAGATTGGAGTGTTCAGAGCAGAGTCAAAGGGAAGATACAGAATCCATATAGACTATGGTTGCAATAATATTGAGTAGATGCACAAGTGTCACTGTTTGCGATAATCAACTATATCACTCATGGTCCCTAACCACCAGTTACCATTATCTCGGAATTCCCACCCAGGAAGCCTATCGGGACCTACGTGACCCAGTCTCCTGGATATATACATAATTCACAATCGTGAGGTTGTTTCCAACGCGAATCACAACTGCACCGTTATCATAATTGAACATGATTTGTTGATCTTTCGACCGAACAAATTTCGATTTACTCTTAACTCTAAATTTCCTACATCAAGTCCGTGGCAGAGAATTTTCATTCAAGCCGAGATCTATAATTTTGAATTGTCATTCGGTGGGACACAAGCTTTAGCACATAAGCCACCGGCCTTTGTTCGGATGACGGAGTGCGCTATTATTCGTACAATTCGGTACTCGTCTCGAGGATATTTTATTTTTGTTTGGTTTGAAAACGCTTATCCAATGAGAGCTCTCGTCTCCGATGCAAAACTCAAAGATTTGAAGGTCAAAAGCACAATCCTAAGCTTATTGGTTTCTGAAAGTTTCCTGGAATGACTGATTAGCATTCTCTAGTATTACTCACACATGCAGGGCCTAATAAAGAATTGCTATTCCGGAAGTGGTTGAGTATCGACCAGTTAATGTTCAAAAATAAGATTAGGCTTCCCTCTTACGAGTGACCCCTCGAACTCATACAAAATACTTTCATTTATATTGAACAATATACAAGATGAAACTTGTTTTGTGAATACTTTTTACATTTTGGAACATGTTTTCCAATAAAAAACTTTCAGAGTGTTTCATTCAACTATTGTATCGATACCAAAAACGTTTATTGTACTTCACCCAAAATTTGAAATCTATAAATCCCAGCGAAGATTTCAAAAAATTGTTCTGGATTTTGTTCATTCTGGATTCTGGTAGAATTTTTAGGTGATGTTTCTCCTCATGAATCCCTAACAGACCAATGTAGCTTCAAGCCATGCTGGACTGCACCACAGTAAACTCTAAATTCATCTCGCGCGTAGCGAGCTTTCAGACATATTCGTCCTACCAAGACAACATGAGTTAAAGGTACCACGGACTGAACTTTTTGTTGGATATCCTATCTTTCAGACTGGATTATTATAGCGTACCGTCAGTCGGACCGTTACGGTGCATGGTAAGTTAAGTCTCTATCCCTTGAGGAGTAAGACCTCAGGAACTAAGAGAGAGAGATAGGGACAAGGTCCAGTGCATTATTCCCTAGAGTGATAATATGTAGATGTGGGTTAGGAAAGCTCAACGGAGAATGTATTTCAGCGCAGTAACTGCAAAACGATTCATACTGTCTCATTGTTTTCCAACAAGCGATGTTCATTAGAAAGTGGGCTACTTTATAAGTACGAGCAAATATCAATTGCGGCTGCATTGGTTTCGACTTGGTAGGTTACCATGTACTGAAAGCGATCACAAATTTGCAGTTTTTATCGTGTTTCCTTACTCGTATTTTTTCATTTACACAACAAGCCTATGTGTTTAAATCATTAAGAAATACCATATTTAAATGTAATCACTAAATATTTTTATTGCCTAAGTACTTACCTAAAGTTCTATATTGAGAAAAAATATTTCGTAGTTTCATTATTTCTTTATTCTCATAGGTGTGTCCACGTATAAATGATTGTTATTCAATGTATGTTTCTGCTACTTTTAACAAAGTCAAACAATAGCGAACACTTTCCTCCTCCTATCCCTCTAATTGTTTCCAGAGAAACCGCACGTACCACTAGATGCTATTGCCCTGGCCAAACACCGTCGAATTCGTGTTCCAGGTTACTTATACGCCTGTCGCAGAGAACACTACAAAATGACGACCGATTCTTGTGAGGGACTGACCACGATAAAACCGAACGAGAAACAGGCACGAGTGGAAGACCCGGTTCGTCGACGTCAGTTGTTCACCAGTTTAATCGGTGGACCAGAAGCCGGTCAGTTAGCTTTGAGGCTTACGCGAGGACTTCGGCTGAGACCATGTCGTGTCGACTGCGGTTATCTGAGACCCGGTAGCGTTCGCCAGTTTATCGTTCGACTGATCAACTGGGGTCCGGAAACTGCTTGGTTTCGTGTTCGATCTCCACCGACCCCAGAAAGTGGAATTCAAGTATTTTATAAACCGGGTCCTGTTCCAGCAGGTCAGTATCTGATCACAATAACCCATCATCAAAGCCATTTTAGGCTTTGATAAAAACATTTTATTGAAACGATTAAGACAAATTGAAGTTCTGATTAATTTTAAGCAATGAAAAGGGAAAGAATTCAAACAATGGATTAATTGAACAGTCGCAGCAATTACACTTGAGCTGAATGTTCTATAAACCTGTAAATCAATTGTTTATTTTCCATTGGTTGTTGAAATTTTTCAGAGNAGAGTCATCAGCTTTTTGCCCCTTAAGTAGTGTGATAAAACTCAGCCAACGCCACTCAAATGTCCTCATTTCGTTCTAACACAGTCTCATTTGAGTGGTTGCTAGCCTTTTCTTAAAACGTTTGTACAATTAACTGTTCAATAGATGAAGTAAAAGACCAGTAGAAGAGAAAATATGTGCATCAATGTTGGTTAGATTTAGTAAATGCCAAAGCAAAAGGAGTGATGGGTTTGGAATAAGTTGCACAGTTTGAATAACCTACCTCCGCCTAAAATGTAATTGTATGGTCAATGTATATATATATATATATATATATA